TTGGTTTTAATTAAATGAAAAACAGAGGGGCCAGGGAGATGACTCAGTGGAATAAGCGCTTCCCTGCCAAGTGCAAGGGCCTGAGTTCAATTCCCGGTTCTGCAAAAATAAACAAATAAATGAAAAACAGTAACAAATTCTGTAGCCACTTTGGTATCTGTTCACAAGCTATAGGGTTTATGCTGCTAGATGATTATAACAAAGACATCAAGATAACTGTAACACATGCACACTTTTTAAAGCAATGGTTTGCTGATATCTACCAGCTCTAAAATACATAAAACACGAGCATTAGGCAATTCCTAAAGTGCCAGGCATTTCATCTTGATTCTTTTTTCTTTTTCCTTTTTTTTTTTTTTTGCGGTACCCAGGATTGAACTCAGGGCTATCTCCCTGGCCTTCATCTTGATTCTTCTTGAGCTGTTACTGAGCAACACTTACAGTGCTTATGACTGGGACACTAGCAGGGAAAGGAGCGAGAATGAGGGCAGCCCATTCCACTAGTGCAGCACAGCCACAAACCAAGTCCAGCCTGGTCCTTACCTCCCCTGCTCCAGAAGTACGATGTCCTTCCACCCCATCTTAGAGAGGTGATAGGCCACAGATGTGCCTGTGATTCCACCCCCACAGATGACCACCTCGGCCTGGGCAGGCAGGGTAACAGAATGGGCCTCAGAAGCCGACGCACTGCTTCTCGCCAAACACTGGTTCTGCCATCTTGGGCTGGTTCTTTGGCTTCGGATAATCGACAGGAACCGGTGAAACATCACGTCTGTCACCAACCGGGAGATATGCTCTCACTCAGTGAAGGAGATCCCAAGAACTCAAACTGGACAAAGAAATCAAAACACATTTGATTCCATTTAACTCAATGCACAGGACTAATGAGAAAAGGAACAAGGAAGAGTAATCATTCACTGACAAACATCTGAGGATGTGCTGAGTTTCAGATACTCTGCTAGGTATAGATAAAGCAGCGAACAATAAAGATGCCTTCTGCCTTTAGGAAAGGTAATGTTTGAAAGTTTGTGTGTGGAAGGGAGAGGGGCAACAAATATACAAATAAAATAATGAAATGAAGCTAATATGGTAGAGTAACTAGGGCAATATTTAAAATATAGCAGTGCTGTAGGCCAGGGAGATAGCTTAACAGCATAAGCACCTGCCTGACAAGTGCAAGGTCCAAAACTCAATCCCTGGTACTGCAAAAAATAAATAAATAAACAAATATAGGGGGGCTGGAGAGATGGCTCAGTGGTCTAAAGCACCTACTTGGAACAAGCTTGGCAAAGCACAGGGACCGCGGTTCAATCCTCCAGCACCACATGCCAGCCAGCTGCGCCCCCTGGTGGGCTGAGCTGGCCACACACATACACACACACACACACACACACACACACACAATAAATGTTAAA